AAAACAAAACAAAACAAAACAAAACCAAATAAAATAAAAAAAAATTCCAACCCAAGGAGCTCGAATACATCGTAACCAAAAATCCAAAGACGAGAGCGAGTACAGCGTATCGTATAAATGTTAAAGGCAGGCGATGGGCGATGCTACTTCAACTTCTGCATCACTCGTTCCCTCACGCCGTAGTTTAATCACGTATTGGCTGCCTCGTTGCCATGACAACCGCCGTAAATAACGCTACGAATAGAAGCAGAATACAGACTGATTTCAATCTGCGTCACTTGCGTCTTCTATACGTTGTATGGTCCGAGGTTGATGTTCGCGCTCAACGAAGGCAATGTTTTTTTAGAAGGCGTTTACCGCGCAAGTATTCTATTTATTTCTGCGTATTAAACAAACACAATACATTTTCAATATAGAATTATACCTAAATTATAAAATTTATATAAAATTAAAAATAATTTTAAATTGCACAACCAAACGGAAATTTTAGGTGAAGCGGTGCGTCACTTGCGTCACCTGACGAGCCGCCACTGCGCATTACTTACAGAGAACATAATAATTAATTTAATTAACCAAATCTTTATCAGAACTCAAAGTATTGGATCTTAGTTATAACATTCACTGCACTTTACACAATTTCAAAAACTGACCTGACTAGAATGTGAATTGGTTGGGCTGAATTTTGCAGACTGGCAAAAGAAAATGTGTATGAAGGATTTGGAAAAAAGAACCATGTACTAAATATATGTTTCTTTAGATTCCTTTATAACCATTGTATGCCTTAGTGAACTGACGTGTAATTAATCAATTTTTGTTTAATTTATTATTATAAACGAATAAAATTGTCAAAATGCCTAATACTAATTTTTGTAAGTAAGAGCTCAGTAGATTCACTCAGTAATTTTAATGTAACACTTACACCAATTATTTTCAGCATTACACCAGTTCTTTTTTATTCTTCTCTTGTCAAAATCTTACGTGATATGATAGATAATTGTAATTATATTTGTAATTCCAATTTTAATGTAACAATAATTTTAATTGAAACAAACAATATTTATATTCAGTATATAAAAAATTTATTAAATTGTGATTAATGTATTCATAGCATATTAGTGTAGTTAAAATTGATCATCTTTGCAAAATTTAGACCGGTGTTTTTTATTATATAAGTTAATCTTATTTTTATACTTTTGATACTTTACTTCTTAATCAACTGTAAATTGAATTCTCATATAAATAATTTAGATTGATAAACATAAACTTTAGCTTGGGGTACGGTACTAAAAATTTACGAGCTTCTCTAAGCCTCTATTAAAACTGAGTTAAAAAATTAATGTCTGCTAGTCCTAAACATTTCGTTACCTTTCTCGGAAGTGTCGAGGATTGGTGACATTCAAAATCGATAATCCGCAGCTTTCTGCTTCTTTACTATGTTAAATCTTTAGAAGCTTTAGGTGTTAAGAGCAATCAATAAAATAAACGAATAAAAGTACCTACCGTTGAACACAAGATAAGGAGTGATAGGAAGCTTGGAGACTTTCTCTATTATTATTATTTTCATTGCGTTAAAATGCAAAGGAAATCGTTTGAGCATTCAGGTACAGCCCACAAACCATACTGAGTAACCCTAAAATCATCTCTGGAGGTAATGTGACTAATCAAAGCAAGAAAAAGTCATTCTGATATAAAATCCCTTATTTTCAAGATACACGATATATAGGATATATATATATATATATATATATATAGTACGTATACAAAGTTACGTCATTCTATAATTTTGTACAATAATAATAAAATAGC